TTATCTGCATTCTTTCTACCATGGATTAAAATTAAGGGTTCTTCCCCTTCTTTCCCAGACCTTATGTTGCTTCAACCCAACAGAGTTCATCTGTCTCCTTTATAATCTTGTCCCTAATAACCAGAGATTTACAGTTGTTCTCTTCAAGGGGATAGTAAAAAAGAAGGAAGAAAGAAAAAGAGAGAGAGAGAGGAAGGGAAGGAAGAAGGAAGGAAGGAAGGAAGGAAGGAAGGAAGGAAGGAAGGAAGGAAGGAAGGACATATGCCTTTGTGATAAGAAGGAAAACTTTTGGGCTTAACAAATATAGGCCCCACGTGCAACTCCATATTGCTCAGCATTATAACTTTGTAAACTTGACTATTTATAAAATCAGGTAAACTCAGTTTCATGAGAAAGATTTATGATCCTGTACTAAACTGGGAATCAGGAGATGTGATTCCAGTTCTGGCTCTGAAACTAGTCAGTTATGTCACCTTGGGTAATTCATTTTATTTAACATACATTGGTAGAGTGCCTAAGGTCATATCCTAGTTTTAAAAAATCTGTCATTGTTTTGGTTTAAATCAGTGTTTCTCAAATTTTTTGGTCTTCAGACCCCCTCACACTTTTTAAATTTTTTTTTCAATTGCTCAGTCATTTCAGTCATGTCCAACTCTTCATGACCACATTTGGGGTTTTCTTGGCAAGGATACTGGAGTGGTTTGTCATTTCATTCTCATGCTTATTTTACAGATGAGGAAACTGAGGCAAATAGGGCTAAGTGACTTGCCCAGGTAGTAAATGTTGGAGCCTGGATTTGAACTCCTGACTCCATGTCCAGCATTCTATCCACTGTGCCACCTAGCTGTACCCTTAAAATTTTGGAGGTTCCCAAAGAGCTTTTGTTTATGTGGGTTACATCTACCAATATTTACCATATTAGAAATTAAAATTGATACATGTTAAACATTTTATTAATTTATTTAAAATAACAATAATAAACCTATAAGTCAATATAAGTGACATACTTTTATTAAAATAAGTATATTTTCCCAAAAAATAGTGAGAAAAGTTGCACTTTTGCAAGTATCTTTAATGTCTAGCTTAACAGAAGACAGCTGGATTCTCAAATCTGCTCCTGCATTCAATCTGTTGCAATCTGTCGCATTGGTGCTAAAAATGAATATAACCTCATAGGGATACAGAGTTGGAAAAGGGAGGAGTATATTAATAGCCTTTTCAGATAATTGTGGATATTCTTCTTCAATACTACTTTAAAATCTGACAAATGGTAGATTCTTAAATGTTTAGTGGCAGTGTGGAATCTGAAGCCATATCAATGAACTTCTCATACTCTGCTACATTAAAATCCATTGGATATTTTTTACCCCTACATAACTTTGTAATACCATGCATTGGTCATTTGAAAAATATTGGTTCACTGGCCTATACAGATCTTCCAGATTTGGCCACATTTAATCACACAGTATCAAAATAAAAATCATATTCATTACTATCACCACAAATCTCATCAGAAAAGTATTTTAGTCGGGAGCTGTCAAGTTCACAGTGGATAAATAAGTTTTCCAAAGTTCTGGTTTTTGCTAGAAAGCTTCGATTTTGTCATTGGCAACAAATACTGCCAGTCTAATTTCCTTAAAGGTTCATTTTGCTCATTTTCACAAAAATGTTGGTCAAATATCCAATCTGAATAATCATAATTAGTCTGTCAGTCATTCTTTCAGGTAAAAATAGTTTTCCATAAAAAAAAGAAGTGGCTCGATCAGCTCACAAGTCAAACAATCACATCAGTGCTTTTTCTCCAGACCACCATAATATTTTGACATGCAGAGAAGAGCTTTATGAATATTTTTCATTTCATCACACAGAATATTAAAAAGATGTACTCAAGGGTAAAGATTTAATAAAATTAATAATTTTATTGCTTCAGCAAGGAAATTCTTAAATGAAAATGGATTTTTTTTTTACTCTCGAGTGTATGGAGATGAAGAACACAATAACTACTAGCACAGATCAATACTGCTGCCTTAGTTTGTGCCAAGGTACCAAGAGTTTGAACCACCCTCACTTTTACACTATCTGGGCAAATTTCAGCATAGTTGTTCAGGATAAACCGTTGGAGTTTAAAAAAAAAGTTATTCAACACTTTTTATATTTCAGCACCATTTGTATTTGTTGCCAAGCATTTGCATAAAAGATCTTTGATGATTAGTTGGCTGATACTGAATGAATGCAAGAGAAACAACAAGGCCAGACACATCTGCAGATTTACCCATTTACATAAGACAAACATTACAATTCTGAAGATGAGATATTAACTCAGTCTTCATGTTTGCAGTTAAATCCTTACTTCACACATCATGTATGCTCTGAAAAATGTCCTTGTATGATCATGAGAGAATGGAAGTGGAAAAAAAGGCAAATAACATCTTTGTATTATTATATAAATGGTTTCATCCTTATAAGCCCCCTGAAAGGGTCTTAAGGACTCCCAAGGGATAAGAGACCACACTTTGAGAACTGCTGATCTAGATAATGACTCGATCCAAAATGAGATTTGTTTGAAAGCAAAAACAATGTATAGGTACTGTGTAACCAAAGACTAGGTGGAGACAGAGAGAGAGAGAGAGAGAGAGAGAGAGATAGACAGACAGACAGACAGACAGTGACAGAGGCAGAGAGAGAGAGACGAGAAGAGAGGAGAGAGAGAGAGAGAGACAGACAGAGAGAGAGACAGAGAGAGAGAGAGAGTTCTGGGAATGGTACACTCAGTTTCACCAGGGATACTAGATATCCACCTTGGTGTGAAGTAGGAAGACAACTCTAAGTGGGTGATCATTCTCTCACTCTTCTGTCTTCAAAATGGGTTTTTGGCTTAGAATTAATTTCTATTACATATCAGCTATTTGAATTCTAGGGTCATTGTTATTTTAGGAGTTCTATACAGAAGTCACTTTCCCTGGCTGTTCTGGAGACTTGGGGAAACTCTTCTGTCCAGACTTGGTGGGTAACAGCTTAATTTCAGCCAGCTTAGCTTCTTCTCCCAACCATATGCTTATTACACAAAAGATAATGGCAGGTAGCAAGCAAGGCTACTCATTGAAACAACCAAATAGGACAATAATCATGGAAGACATACAGACTAATTTAGGTGATAGAATATGTAATTCTGTGACCTAGATCAAGATGAAATCTCAACTGGGAAGAGAACAAGCTCCAAGGAACTCATCCCTGACAGTCTCTGTGGGACTCTAGATATCAAGGGACATGTTGGGGTGTCCACTTTTCCCCATATGCCTGCAATTCTAGGGGTTTCACATTCACAATTCAAAATCTACACTTTACCTCTTCTATTTCTCTGCTTCTCTTTCCCAGAAGTTGATCAAGCAATTAGGAGTCATGTCTCCCTGCGTGCAAGTAGCAGCCTTTTTGCTGTCTATCACACACACACACACACACACACACACACACACATTTTATCTGTGTCTTTTCACAGTTTGTCTGTCTTCTATGTCCAAATACATTTCCTTTTCACCTCCTTTTAAAATCTCTGGTTTCCAGAAACCTCGTGATCTTTGAATTGAGATAGGGCAAATGGTGATACTATTAATAGAAACCTGGTAGCTGATGACTTAACTTTTCTGTGACTCAGTTTTGCCTAATTCTAATGTGGCAGGATTTGGGTTAGGCCTCTGAGACCTATTCCACCTCTAAGACTCTTATGATTCATTTATTAGTATTCATATAACCTCTTTTCATTCCTCCCTAGCTCCCATGCACCCCACATACTATTTTTTTCTTCACTCTCTGGGGCTTTTTCTTCTTCCTTTGGAAATGCCTCCCAAACCAGCCAATCAGAATCTGCTGTCCTACAGGATAATGTTCAGGACAAGGAATCCACTCTACTTAAACTGCATTCAGAATTGACTTTAGATATCCATCATAAACCATGGAAAGAAACTCACCATAGTAACAAATGGTCCCTGTTAAGGTTATCAAGAGCACACAAGGGAGGTAGCCTTTGGGCAAGTCATCATCCTATGGGACTCGACTTGCCCATCAGCGGCGAAAAGAAAGTGGACTTCTAGGGGATTATTTTGTGTCATTAACCCTCTTTGGTAATTTGATAAAGTCTCTGTTCTTCTCAGAATAATGTTTTGAAATAATTAAAGGAAATGCTAAATCCCGCTTACTGGTCAGATAAAGTGAAATTTGGATCCCTTTTAAAGCAGATTATGAAATATGATAAAGAAAGAAGCATTACAACATGCCAGGAACCCTGGTAAGCACTGTGAGTACAGAGAAGGATGAAAACAGTCCCGTTAAGGACATAACAATTTAATGGGAGAAACAATGTATGTGTACATATGTTGTATATGTGTATACATATATGGGTATATATATATATATTGTGTATATGTGTGCATATATGTATATACATAGCTATAGATACGAAAAATTGGAAATAGTTATCATTGGCATTAAGACCTTGATCTTGGAGCACTGCTCCATATGGCGGTGGTAAGTCCTGTCTCCAAATGGAAAGGGAGCAACGTCCCTGCATTGGAGATGATCCGCATCCCATTTGAGGCTCATCCCAACCCGGGCCGTGGCACACATATTACGCATGCGCCACCTTCCTGCAGCCGCCTCAGCCGAACCCTGGATAACGGATTCCATCCATCCCACCTCTCCCCTCCCCCAACCGGAAATGGGAGGTCGCTAGGGGCGGGGCGTCGCGAGGGCGGTAGTTTTGGGCTTATGTCGGGGTCCCGACCGCCGGTCCTCCTTTTTCCTCGCCTCCTCTCAGCTCCATCCCCTCCTTTCCCCGCCATGGCGGCGGCGGCTGCCTACGTGGTGCGGCTGCTCCTCGGCTCGGTGACCTTGTCGCTCCCGCTGCTCGGGGCTCAGGCGCCCTCCGCCGCCGCCGCCGCCTCCTCCTCCAAGGCGGTGACGGCCAGTTTGTCTGCGAAATGGCCCGCGACCCCGCTGCTGCTGGAGGCGAGGTGGGTGCGGGAGCGGCGCCTAGGCCCGCGAGCGGCCCGGGGCGGCGCGGGGCGGGCGCCCGGCAGCCTGGGGCGCGGGGACAGCGGGGGTTCCCTGGGTGGGGGGCTGCGGGCCGGAGCGGCGGCTCCCGCCGACCTCTCTCCTTTTTCCCTGGCCCTACATAGCTGGGTTAGGGGATTCGGGAATTGCCTTTGGGGCTGATCCCATAAAGTGTTACCCCGGGTCTGTGACCGGCCTCCCGGGTCTCCCATTTCCCTGTGGCTCTCCAAGTCCCCAGCCCCTTCTAGGATCCGCCTTCAAAACCACTACTTTATTACGGATCCCTATCTACTTCTAATACCATCCCCAGCTACTTTTTAACTCCAAAGCTACTACTTTTTTTGCGGATCCCTCTCCCCTTCTAATATCATCCCCAGCTACTTTTTAACTCCAAAGCTACTACTTTGTTGCGGATCCCTGTCCCCTTCTAATACCATCCTCATATACTTTTTTAACTCCAAATCTTCTATTTAGTTGCTGGGACGTGTCCCCTTTGCGGTGCCACCTCCCTTCCTGCTGTTTATTCGGCTTTGCTGCTGTAGCGTTTTGGGAAGTTAGGGATGGGGACAAGGCCTGGGATTTCCTTGATTTAAGGAAGCTCCTTCCTTGTGAGAAACTTCTGCAGGTCAATCAATCAATTAATAACATTGATTAAACTCTATGTGCCAAAACATTAGCGGAAACAAGTGCAATCCTAGGGAAAATCAATCTCTCCTAACCAGTTGGCATACATCCTAATGGAGAAGACATCAGGGACTTCTTATACAGGGTGTTCCAAAACTCTTAAAGTGCTGTTTTAATCCTTTAAAGCTTAAAACTTATCTAAGCTATTAAAACTCAAAATTGCACTAAAGACCTAGACACTGTAGAAATACATGCAGAATAAAATCATGGCAAAATACTTAACTATAACTACTGTTGCAATAACTATAACTACAAAGTAGTTATAATGCAAGTTGGTTTGAAAGGGAGGGGCTTAACTGAGGGAGTCAGGAAAGGCTTCCCTTTAAGAAGGGAGGAGGGAGTGAACTCCAAGCATGGGGAATTGCCATTGCAAAGGCATAGAGTCAGGAGATAGTGTCATGTGAAAAACCGGGAGGTCATTTTGGTTGGATCACAGAGTACAGGAGGATAATTAATGCAATAATAACATTCACATAGTGCTTTAGGTTTTATGAAGTGCTTTACAAATATTATGTCATTTGATCCTCATAACAACCCTGTCAGAGAGGGGCTGATATATACATTTGAGGAAACTGAGGCAGAGGTTAAGTGACTTGCCCAGGATTACACAGCAAGTAAGTGTGTAAACCAAGAATTCAACTGAGGTCTTCCTGACTTCAAGTCTAGCACTCTATCCACTTCACAAACTAGTTGTCTTGCATAATTAGGCAGGAATGATAGGTAGAGGAAAGGTTGTACAGGACTTAGAAAGCTAAACAGATAAGTTTGTATTTTATTCTAGAAGCAAAAGGAGGCCACTTGAGGCTATTGAATAGGGAAGTAAGATTGTCAGGTCTGCCTTTAAGGAAAATATCTGTCTGTAGTGTGGAGGATTGATTGAAATGGGGAAGAAGTTGAAGCAGGGAAACCAATTAGAAGACCATTGCAATAATTTTGGTGAGAGGTGAGAATGCCAGAGATGCTATGGAGGTTAAAAAAAATGTCAAGGCTTGACAACTGATTGGTTATGTGGGGTGAGGGGGAATGAGGAGTTGAGTAAAACAGGGGAATGTGAAAAAGGGGTGTATTTGAAGTGGGGGAATAATGAGTTCTGTTTCAGATGTGTTGAATTTGAGATATCTCTAGGACATCCAGTTTGAAACATCCAATGGCCAATTGTGATGTGAGAGTGAAGCTCTGGAATAAGACTGTGGCTATGTATGTAGATCTGGGAATCATCTTCATAGAGATGATAAATCCATGGGAATTGATGAGATTATTAAAGAGAATAGAGAAAGAGAAAGAGATGAGAAGGGGTATGTAGGACAGTACCTTGGGAAACATCCACAGTTAGGGGGCGTGGTATGGATGATTAATAAGCTAAGGTGATAAATGAGAAGAGAACCGGAAGAGTGTGTCACCAGGGCCCAGAGAAGAGACAGTATCCAGTAAAAGGTGGTCACTAGTTTCAAACATTCAAATTTAGGCTGAGGATAATGAGGACAGAAAATGACTATAAGATTGGCAATCAGTAGTAACTTTGGAGTGAACAGTTTGCAATCCAAATTGCAAAGGTTTGAAGAGTGAGTGAGAGGAGACAGCGTTTGGAGGCAGCGAGATTACAAACAGGCAGCTTTTCCAAGCGTTTAGCTGGGAAAGAGAGAAGTTTAGAGAAGGGTATGAAAAGGGAAGAGTTTTTTTTTATTTCATTCAATTTTGTTTTAAATTTTTATGTTCAATTCCAAATTCTCTCTCTTCCTCCTGCCCCTTCCCTATCCTTTGAGAAGGCAAGAAATATGATACATGTTATACATATGGAGTCATACAAAACATGTTTCCACATTAGACATGTTGTGAAAGAAAAAAATGAAGAAAAATAAAGTGAAAGCAAATGTGCTTCAATCCACACTCAGTTCATCAGTTCTCTCTCTTTGAAGGTGGATAACATTTTTCATTATGAGTACTTTGGAATTGTCTTGGATAGTTATATTGATCAGAGTAGCTTCCTTTCACAGTTGGCTGTCATCATGATATTGGTGTTACTTTGTACAATGTTCTCCTAGTTCTGCTGGCTTCACTTTGCATTAGCTCATTTAGGTCTTTCCAGGTTTTTTTTCTGAAACTATCTTTCTTAACATTTCTTACAGCACAATAGTATTCCATCGTATTTCATGTACTATATAACTTGTTCAGCCATTTCCCAATTAATGGGCATATGTTCTCCCTTGCCACCACACGCAAAAAAAGTTGCTATAAATATTTTTATATGTGTCTTTTTTGCTTTTTCTTTTATTTTTTGGGGGTACACACCTAATGGGGTATTGCATACCTAAGGGTGTATATGCACTGTTTTATAGCCCTTTGGCCATCGTTCCAAAATGATCTCCAAAATGGTTGGACCAATTCACAGCTCCACCAACAGTGCGTTAGTATACCTATCTTTCCACATTCTCTTTAGCATTTGTCATTTTCCTTCTCTTGCCATATTAGCCAATTTGATGAGTATGAGGTGGTGCCTCAGGATTGTATTAATTTGTATTTCTCTGAATTATTCATGATTTAGAGTATTGTTTCCTATGACTTGATAGCTTTGATTTCTTCTGAAAACTACATGTTTATACCCTTTGACCATTTATCAATTGAGGAATGGCTCATTTTTATAAATTTGGCTCAGTTCCCTATCTATTTGAGAAATGAGACCTTTATCACAGTAAAAGGGCTTTTTTGGCAGTTTCCGGCTTTCTTTCTAATTTTGGCAAAATCTTTTTAATTTCACGTAATCAAAATTATACATTTTACTTCTAATGGTCGTCTCTATCTCTTACTTGGTCATGAACTCTTCCCCTATCAGTAAGTCTCACAAGTAATTTTTTTCCCCATACTTCCCTAATTTGCTTATGATATTACCCTTTATGCCTAAATAACTTTGAGCTTATCTTGGCATATGATGTGAGATGTTCGTCTGTGCCTAACTGCCAGACTGCTTTCCAGTTTTCCCAGTTATTGCAAATAGTGAGTTCTTGATGCAATAGCTTGGACCTTTGGGTTTATCAAATACTAGGTTACTGTGGTCATTTACTTCTGTATGTTGTTTGCCTAATTTATTCCATTGATATTTATCATCTAGCACTAGATTATTATGATGATTACTACTTTGTAGTATAGTTTGAGATCTGGTCCTACTAGGCCATCTTCCTTCTTAGTAAAGGTTTTTATTTTTTATTTTTTTGCTTTTTTTTTTTAAGGATGAGTGATAATTGGAAATGTTTGAAGGAAGTAATTAGTAGATATAGGGACATATTTTAGGGTCGAAGTCAGCTGGAGAAGATGCAAGGGGACAGGATGAAAGGCGCTTATAGAAGAATTGGCTTTGGCAAAGAGAAAGACCATGTAATTGTCAAAAGGGGAAAGGAGGAGAGAATGAAAGATGATGCCAATGCTTTTAAAATGAAGAAAGGGAAGAAAAGGGAGCTTATGTTGAATGGATGCAGTCTTCTCAATAAAGTAGGAGCTGAGGTCCTCAGCTAAGAGGGTGAGAAAGATTGAAGTATGGTTGGCTGTGGAGAATGAGGTAGGGAAGGCCCACTTGAAGTTGGATGCCATGAATTTGTAACGTACTCAGCGTGGTTGTATGATTACATCCATCTCCATTCAGAAGAAGGTAAATGGGAGAAGAAGAGTAGGATTATGGGAGCAGTTCAGGGCTGAGTTTGGCAAGGGATGCTGGGACAAGGGGGCAAGGGATTTGAGTAGAGAATAGTGTAAAGTTGAATTGTCCAACTCTAGAGTCAGATTGGAAAGAGAGGGTAGTGAAATCAGAACAGGGATAATGACCTGAGGAAGTCCTGAGGGATACAAGTTGAAATACAATTGAAAGTCTGAAGAAAAGAATGGGTTTAAGAATGTTGAGGCATAGGGAGAGATAGACTGAAAAGAAGTTATAGTCAGAGGAATGTCAGAATTTCTAATTAGAGAAACGGAACACTTGTGGGTAGTGATGAGATAACAGTATGTGGTAATCCCTGTGTGTGACTGTAGTGGAATTAAAAAGACTGAAGAACTGGAATGTTAAGGAGTAAACGACTGGAGAGGAATGGGAAAGGGTGAGGACGGTGCTGAACTCCTTGGTAAAGGAAATAGGAGAGTCAATAGTTACTAAACATTTATTAAGGACTACTATATGGTAGGCACTGTTCTAAGTGCTGGGGATACAAAAAAAATCCCAGTCCCTGCCCTCAAGGGGCATCTAATGGGGGAGGGGGGGAAACAACACAAAAGGAGAAGAAAAGCTTGAGAG